TGCCACGAAACACTCATGAGAGGGGTGATGACTCCCCCTGCTGGAGTCAGAGCCAGAGGGCGACTCCGACTCTACAGCGAGGAGGTCGTGGAAAGATTCTACGACATATTTGGTCATCCTCATGAACTCGTCGTTCGTAGGGGATCGAGGAATGCGTTGCGCCACAAAGTGGCCAACGGTCTCTGCAGCGTTGCGTAGACCGAATAGGAGCGCCATCGGGGCACTCCGGATGAGGTATTCTAGGGAGAGAGGTTCTCCCTTGGCAAGCTGTGCCATGACATTGGCGAATGAGAAGGTAAGGTGGCGCAGGTCCTCCTAGGACGGTTGGGGTCCCAGAAAGGCGCCGAGCTAGGGCTCCAACCTCCCATAGTCGAAGTCGAGGAGTTGACCGCCTCAGGGGCACGGGCCTCTGGTGCATGCAGTTGCAGCTCCTCGAGCGCCTCGGCGATCACATCGAGGCCGGCTAAGTGGAGAGGTTGAACGATGACGGGTGCCCGCGCCAACTCTCCCTCCGTCGTGATGATAAAGTCCAGGTCCTCGAAACGCACGTGCGCGCCTGGGACCCAGCTGATGTTGTGACTAGCCATCCGAGGCCTGGTGCTGATGTCGAGACGCGCAAAAGCTCCATACCTGGCTCGCCAACTGTCGGTGTTTCGAATAAACACCAACAAGTAAATTTCTAATATTGCGCGTCTTGCTCGGATGGTGTACTTAGAGGACACGAGGTTTATACTGGTTCGGGCAGAATGTCCCTACGTCCAGTTCATTGCTGCTGCTCGTGTTACTAGCACTAAAAATTCATAGTAGGGGTTACAAACGATCAAGAGAGGGACAGGTCCTAGGTCTCTGGTAGAAGGAACGAACTGGTGCTGAGAGCTTGGTTGCTACTCAGTCGTGTGTTCGTGTTATGTTTTGGTGGTTTGATCAGTCGATCGAGTTCAAGTCGAGTCGATGCGATGTCTTTTGATCGTTGGTCCGATGCCCCTTATGGGACGCCCTGCTTTCCCTTTTATAGGCCAAGGGAAAGCACGGGTTACAGCGAAGGAAGAGAGGGGAAGAGAGGGGAGAAGTTCCTCAGGATCGCTGGGTCCTTCTTCTCCTCCACACGGGTCCCGCCGACCCTATAGACGTCAACAGGGACAGCTTCACGTTGCAGCCCCTATCGTCACCGGTGCCATGCGCAGGCGTAGTCCGCCGGTCATGGCGCTCCACTCCGTCCTAGCGGAAGTCATGGTGAACTGGCATGCCCATCAGTGTTCGTACGAGGGTTAGGTAGAACAGCACCGGTACGTCCGATGTTGTTCCTGTGAGTTCCTGTGTGACCCGTCACGGTCACGGGTTGTATCGGGGTGTGCCGGTCACCTCCCTGATGTCAGAGCTTTGACCCAGGCCCATTCGCTGGGGCCCAAAGTGGTTGGCGGTGGTATGGCTTTCCGTCGGGCGAGACGTAGCCCGCGGCCTCGGTGTCGGACGAGCGAAGCCAGCCCTCAGAGGTCGGACGAGGCGGAGGCCGCCTCCAAAGGTCGGGCGAGGCGAAGGCCGCCTCCAAAGGTCGGGCGAGGCAGAGCCTGTGGCCTCGGTGTCGGGCGAGGCGGAGCCCGCCCCCAGAGGTTGGGCGAGGCGGAGCCCGCGGCCTCGATGTCGGGCGAGGCGGAGCCCGCGACCTCGGTGTCGGGCGAGGCGGAGTCCGCCCCCAGAGGCTAGGCGAGGCGGAGTCCGCCCTCAGAGGTCAGGCGAGACGGAGCCCGCCCCCAGAGGTCAGGCGAGGCGAAGCCTGCCCCTAGAGATCGGGCAAGGCGGAGTCCGCCCCCAGAGGTCGGACGAGGCGGAGTCCGCCCTCAGAGGTCGAGCGAGGCGGAGTCCGTCCCCAGAGGTCGGACGAGGCGGAGCCTGCGGTCTCGGTGGCGGGCGAGACGGAGCCCGTCCCCAGTGGTCAGGCGAGGCGGAGTCCTCCCTCAGGGGCCAGGCGAAGTGGAGCTCGCGCACCTGGGGATCGGTTGGAGTTGTAGCCACGCTCTTGATTGCTCGGATGAATCTATGCTGATGGTTATTAACTCCTCCTCGTTGAGTACCTAGTATTTGTCCCCTTAACGGAAAAAATCAACCAGGAACCTCTCACTCCGGCTGGCACCAATCCTATCCCGAGGAAGCTAAAGGATCTCACTGTTCTAGTGGAAGCAATTCCCGACGGGGCCGGGGACAGCATGCAACCACTCATGGGCGCACCACCAATTCTGAAGGTTTTCCTCCCAATGTTGGTGCAGGATACTCCTTCTCACCCTCATGGGAACGAGGCTTCCGCGAGATCAACCACGACATCAACTGCCTCTCGCAACAAGTGATCTTCAGATTCAAAACTGGAGAGATACAGTTTCAAAAAAAAACTGGAGAGATGCAAGGAGTCAACCAGCACATTCAAGACAACGCAAGTCAACTGTGTCGCAAGCTTCACACAACAAGATAATGCAAGCGATAGTGATACCGTGCGGGCGTCTGTTCCCGTCCGGACGGACCTCGCACGACTCAACCGACCACCGCGCGCCTCAGCGCCTTATCCGTCGCTCTCCGCTCGACTCCCCCACCCACTCCCATTCCGTCCCGTGACCCCCGCACCCATTCGCTCGCTCCACTCGTCCACTCCTCCCCGCTCCTCCGCACCCACTCCGCTGACGAGTCGCGCGCCATTCTCCGGGCCGCCACGCCCGCGAGCCAGGTCACTGCCGCCCCTCCCTCCCTCTCTCCCTCCACGACCTCCATGCCACCAGAGACGAGGGCGACGGCGGCGGCTCCGGCGAGGTAGGTCGGTCCTTCTCTGGATCTGAGCCCTCCTCCTCCTCCTCTAGATCTGAGCCCTCCTCCTCTGGATCTAAGGGACGCGGCGGTGGCTAGGGTTCCGGCGAGCTCTGGGTAACTATTCCTCCTCCCGTGTTGCAATGGGTGTTTTTGATGTTGCAATAGATGATTTTCAAATGTTGCAATGGGATCTTTTCGGTCGTTGCAACAGATGTTTTTGTGATGCTGCAGTACTATTGATTGAGATGTTGCAATACATAATTTTCGATGTTGCAGCACATAATTTTCAATGCTACAGTACACATTTTTTCGATATTGCAGTACATGTTTTTCGATGTTGCAGTATATGTTTTTCAATGTTGCAGTACATGTTTTTCATTGTTGCAGTAGATATTTTTCGATATTGTAGTGCATGTTTTTCAATATTGCACTGCATATTTTTTCGATGTTGCAGTATTTTACAACCCGATGTTGCACTACATAGTTTTTCCACATGTTTTTGCAATGTTACAGTTGAAGTGTTACATGCTCTTTTTGGGACAAGGGCACGGTGGGGAACGAGGGGCGTTGGGGGACTGGGGACAGGAGCGCGTTGGGGAGCGGAGGAAGGGCGGGTTCCGATTTCTATTCTGTTCCGTGCGGGGGCGGGAATGATTCCGTGCGGGGTAGGGGCGGTATGAAGGACCCGGCGTCCGGACACGTCTCGCTCGCCGGACGTCCAGGCGCTGGGGTTACCGTAATGCAAGACATATAATGGGCCGCGTACTGGCAGCACATGGGCCTAAACCCACCAGAGGGAGGCTACTGAAACAAAAAAAAAAGCTTGGAGAAGAAGCCCATGCTCAGCTAAGTTGTTTCAGTTGCATCTACATTTTTATTTTTAGTTTGGTTTGTTTCTTTTGTTTAAATAATATATAATAACAATGAATACGGTGAAAATAACAAAAAAATCATTTTCCTTGTGTATCATGAATGATTAATTTCTCGATCTTTGGGATGATGAATTCTTGCTCTGTTTATATTTTTAAAGTGCCTAGTATAGTAGTATGCAGCTTCACATTGTTCTAGGTATGAATTATTTGGCTCATATAAATTCATCTTAAACCTGAAACTTTGTGGGATGCAAATGATGTAACTAAGTTTAAGTTATTGTGAGATATGATATAGCATGATATGAGCTCCTATAATCTTGTTCCAAGTGAGGCATGAATTTCCGGAGTTATTTGTTTTGAAAAAGAACAAAAATGAAAAGTTCTACGATGGTGAGCAAATTCCTACCAAAATCATGCATGATCTTGCATGAAAAGCTTTCTAGGTATGCTGCTTGTACTTGTATTGAGTTTTGTACGACCCATATGAAAAAGCCTATTATAGATAGTGTATTTACAGTTTATGTCCAACATGAGATCAAATTGAATTCACAGTGCATTCTCTCAAATAAGCAAACCAATGGCGGCATTATAAATATCAAATTTATGCTTAGATCTTCATGATCTATGCATCAATTAAATAGCTTGTTATAGATATTGTCCGTTGTTTGTTATACGGTCTATGTCAGAGATGGCATGTGCTTGCAAATGGCGGCTGTCTAAACTTGCCGCAGAGAGAGAGAAAAGACGAGGGGAGGAGGAAGATCTGGTCAATATATCAACCTGACTGGAGCCATTTGAACGTCGAAGCCAAGCCAAATACCTGGTGCAATCTGCCCATCTGTACAGATGCAAAATTATGTTTCATTTCTTTCCAACCGGATCCATTTTGTTATTGCAGATCAAAACCAGTTGCTCAGCAAAGAATTTCTTTGAGGCAGAACCCTGCGCGTCTAAGTCTGATAAAAGTATAAAACACACTCCAATTATGCGTCAAGCACATTACCAATCAGGATGGTTACTCAGGTCAGGAAGATGTAAATCCTGGAAATAAGAATATGCATCCACCGCCGCTATACTCACATCAGACTATCAGAGATACGCTATAAGCATAACTGGCATTCCAGGTGACTGAACGCACTCACTGCACTATTCACAACCGAAAAAATTATAAAGCGAACCATTATTTGCACTGCACTATTCACGAAGCCGATTCCTCAACAAAAAACTTCTGGAACTTGAACGCTGCGTCATGAACACAAACACTCGAATTATACTGTCTATATGGATTCATAACTCATCTGTTAACATACACAGCTCTAGCAGGATCAGGTAGTCCTAATCTAAATCCAACTCCTTTCTGCTCTTTACAGTGGCATTCTGCTTCGACTCTGGGTCTAGAATGTCCAAGTCCCATGCCGTGGCCAGGTAACCGTAGAGGACCCATGTCCGCTCTCCCTTGCCGTCCACCTTGACCAGCATGGGGTTGTCATTGCCCCCGTCACTGGTGGGGACGATGCTCTCGGATGCGAGCCCAAGCCGCTCGCCCGTGGCCTTGGCGCTCGAACAACTCAACAAGCCGTGACGCATTGTTCAGACCATCAAGGCTGGCGGGAAACTTAGCTTGCATGGACCTCTGCCTGTCCTTCCCAGGGAGTGGCTGCACATCGACACCAGCAAAGCCCATTTCTGGAAAGTTGGCGAACATGTCAGTTTCCGATTGATGTCTATGAGAACACAAAATAACTATAAGATATGCACAGGGTAGGCATGAATTATTGCCCACCCAAATTCCTAGCCCTTTAGATGTATCGGCATCCTATGGACTATTAAAACATCACAGGCACATACAGCGTGTTTGGATGCAGCCCTGGGCTGGGAGCCCCCGCCAGGCATGAGCATCTGACCCCAGGCACTCAATCGAACGCATAACGCCTGGGAGCAATGCCTGGCAGAGGCAGCTTTCCCACACTGCCATCCAAATAGGCCCATATAGTGGGGAAACATTACTTATCACTAGCGCAGCTAAACAGTTAACACATAGTTAACTATAATATGGAAGAAGAAAAGATTCGCTAGTTTATCAAGTTCCTGCACTAGGTGTAATGATGCAACAAGGCCTTTGAGTCCCAAGCAAGTTGGGTCCTAAGGCTAGAAATGAAACCCAACAAGAACCACCCCAAAAAAGCAGATAAATAAATAAATAAATAAAGTGAAAAAGCCATTGGTAATAATAATAGTAAAAGGAGAACCATAGCCTCCAAATTCAAAGAAAATTCATGTATATATTTTAGCAGATAGCCTCCAAGGCACCAGTCAGATCATCCTCTGCTACACAAAATAGGAAGCTAGGGGACACTGGCTACATTTATATTATATATAGATAGAATTCTTATGGCAGGTCCAACAAACTATGTAAATTTAATAAACCGAAATACTGAGGAATTCAGCTGTCAGCCAATACAGTTTTCAACGTTTCTTTTCATTTCTATCTAATGCTTCTGAAAGACAGGCATCTTTAAAGAAACCAAATAACACGTTTTGGTCAAACCAAATGATTTTCCCCCAACTTATCCGTCCAAAAGAATAAAGAGAAGGCAAAACATCAAAAGTTCTGATGATTAATAGAGTAATCAATCAGAAGTTCAGAACTACCAAGATCACAGTGACATAGCAAGCATTGAAGAAGTACCTCTCAGCTTGCTCTCCATATCTTTATCACTCATGCCATCCTTTTGTCCATCGTGCTTTGACTTGTATGTGTTCTCAATTACAACTGTTGGTGGCCATAAGATAAGGTCTCCTTGATTGGCTTCAGCGTCGATAGTTGATAATGCTTGGTAAGCGGTTTTGTGAACAGGGGCTACGGAGTAATTCCAACCCATAAGAACACATAAAGCTTTGTGAAACCCTAGGTGATCAGCACGATGCTCCTGACTCTTTGCATAGTATGCATGATTGAGGAGCGCATGCAAATCTACAGAATCCCTGTGATCAAACCATGCATACAATCGGCTTCAAATGAAAATTATGCATAAAACATTGTCTTCAGACAATAATCCATGCCACTCTTAGAAAAAACATGGTTTTAAAACTGATTTTGTGTGAACTAAATGGCTTGTAAAATAAATCACAAAAGTACAATTAGTAGGGAAAAATTTTTTGAAACATAAGAACAAAACAAAGGATCAATACACAGACATAATAATTGTTCAAAAACAAAAAAAGGGATTCAACCAAACTACCCAAGTAGCAAAAATAAGCTTGCTTTGCAGCACAACATAGTTCCAGGCAGTAATGACAAGGCAAGAAAACAAAACCAAGCATGAACGCATTCATTGAAAGAACACCACAAATGTGCAACATGTAAGTTTGCATATTAAGAAAAGGCTTTGTTGTTGTTGTTGTTGTTGTTGTTGTTGTAAGTTTGCATATTAAGTCCACAAAGGCCAAGATATGTTGTATGGTTATCTCTTCATAATGAAGTAATTTCATATAAAGTGGTTTGAAACCAGTGAAACTCTTGTGGAAATTCTCCAATCTAAACATGCCTCACATCAAAGTATGCACTGTGTCTCTTATTTTGCTGGATTATTTGCTCCAAAACTGATTTCTATTCGCAATGTCAAAAATAATTAAACAATGTTTACGGCTTTTCAGGCACACACCGTTCCAGAATAAAAAATGGGGTAGTATGATACTGTTCAAGTCTTCAAGAGAGTATGGTCCTGGGAAAAGTGATTGTGTTGTGTTTCACACTGAATTAAAACAAAAACTCTGCTATTTTGAAGTTAAGCGGGATTCTTCGTATGTTTATTTGTTCAAGTAAAGTGCATCTTAATTCTCTTTAGTACCATAGCTAAACCACTTGAATTAGTTTAGGGTCCCCTAAAGCTTTAAATTTTATAGTACTATGAAAAAACTCCTTTGATAACGGACAATGGCCAGTCAGTCGTTTTCATCAGCACATGGAGCAATTGACTGGCATACACAGTAGGGCAGAAGATTCCATACTTCTAACAAATATATGACTATTACCAACATTATGACACAGAAATGAGTTGGGTACTTGCCTACTTGGATAATCCCGTACTTACCAAGTTCCTGGGTCGATTGGGTCGTGGAACGGTGATTGATTTAGTAAGGAACGTGGTATGCTCTTTGAGAAAGATTTCTCCACTACGGTCTGATGCATTCCAGAACAAGAACAATGTTCCCGGGATGAGGAACGCAGCAGCATCCCGTAACAGGTTCCCAGTGATGGATAATCCACAATATCGCTAGTATGTGCGCAAACCACAAAAATAATCCTGTGTGTCCATGTTCAAGTAGTGTATATGTTCTATGTCATTGCTATCAGTGCTACCTAGATTTCAGTTTGTAAAAGAGATTAATGGGCAGATCATATGAGGCATTGACTGCATTAATTAGGGATCATGGGCACATGTACAACCCTGTATGAGAAAACAATGAGGGCTAGTGTAGCCGCATCGACCAACTACCTGTCTTATTTTGGTACTTGTATGTATCCACCAAAGAGAAAGCTAGCATGTATTTGTGATAAACACTCAAGAAAGAGGGAGTGATTTCAAACAATATGGCTACAGGGAATTATTTTTATTACAGAATGAAAAGTTAACAGTCCAAATAAAACTTAGTGCATGAAATGCAAAACTAGCCACTTTTAAGCCTTAGGCTGCACAGTTAGCAAATAATAGGAGGTAGAAATGATCCTGGTAAGAACTGCAGATTCTGTGTTGAAGTGAGCTCAAATACTATTTAACTGTTTGAAGGCTTGATCATCTCAACATCCTTATATTTGTTGTGGCAGACTTGAATGAGGTGTATGGCTCGTGGAAGTAACTCATCCTATATGGGATAGTCCTTCATGGGATCAGCCCATGATTTTGAGTAGAGATCATTCCTTTACTTCCACTAGAATGTGCCTAATGATTTAGTCCATGTCATTCCTCAAACTAAACAAGACGCCTAGGTTCATAATCAATGGATTCTCACTATCCCATTGCTCAAACCAACACTATATGAAATAAATATCTTAAAACGTCAGACTAATAGTAATACTTCCAACAATCATTGACTTAACACAAGGAAATGTTGAAAAAACCCAGGTATTCCAGAGCTTCAGGCTTTCTCAATTCGAAAGTCTAGTATGCTATAATGCTGGTATATTAATTTCATATTTAGAAGTCAACCAACATGACATTACATGTTCACTATTAGAGAGAAGAATCAGACTAAAAAAATCACTGGAAAATGTTTTCCAAGATATTTCAGATAGAGATCAAATCCAAACATAAGGATCCCAAGAAAAATGGCCAGACTTAACTGCTTATCCAACATACAGTCATTTGTCCCAAGCAAGTTGGGGCAGGCTAGAGCTGAAGCTGACAAAACAAGAGCCAAAACGAAGCCAGGTGAAGGAGAAGAGTTGTTGTAGGCTTGGTGAAATCATCAAGAAACAAGAGTAGGTGCTATCTGACAAGACTCTAGGACTGTTGCTATTGTATATATAATATTGAACAACTGAGCTCAGTTACTGAATAAGCACACGAATAGTTCCATTGTGTTGAACATCATCTGATACAAAACCAATTCCCATTTGGGAAAGAAAAGGAAAACAAAGAAAACAGGTAGAGGAAGGCCAGTTAACAAAATCCTGCAGAGGGCAGAGGCAGACAAAGGGTACAGCCATATATTTCTCAAAAAGCCAAAAAAAAATCCTGGTATGAGTTTTAACTGTTTGAAGAAGCATGGACTGCATAAACTATTTAGTGGAAGTTTCACCCTGTAGTAGACCTATCACATCAAATATGATACTGTAACAATTAGGAATCCTACTAGCAAAGGCTAGCAAAGGTCTGCTTAATTTAAATTAAATTTTAATTGACTCTCTACCTATGTTTCTTCCATCTATTGGTTGCTTGTTTTAAATTCACTTTTAATTGACTCTCTACCTAAGTATCTTCCATTTATTGTACTATGGAACACGAGAAGCGCCAACTGTAATAATTTCATTTATAATAAACTTTACATGTAAATGGGGAATGGTCAAATAGAGTAGCAAACCTAGGGGAAAGATGGACAAAAGACCAAATGTAGCAGAAATAAAGAGGTTCATTTATAATAAACTTTACATGTAAATGAGGAATGGTCAAATAGAGTAGCAACCTAGGGGAAAGATAGGCAAAAGACCAAATGTAGCCGAAATAAAGAGAATCTGTGGACGTGTCATGCCAGAAATAAAGAGAAACTGTGGATGTGTCATGCCATGGTAAATCCAAAGGTCAAAAATGACAACAGTCTTTTGAACTGTAAAGAGCATCTAACACTAATCGTTAATACAAACATTTTTTAAAATAAATAAGCCTTTACAACTATCAGTATAGGATATACAGACATGCATGGTTTCAAAGGCAACTAGGCAAGTGCTGGGTCCACCTGGATGCCTAGGTGACTAGGCACCACTGTTTTCCAAAACGAGCTGGGTATGCCTTGCCTGGATGCCTAGGTGACGCCTTTCAAACAGGGCAGACATGTTGCGTAATTCTGAGAGGTTTTCGCTTTCAACTAAATAGCCAAAGAGCATTCTTCGGTGGGTGGGGGGCAAAATTACGTTCATCAAACATTGTTATACTTTGTACCATGCTAGGCACGTACATCAAGTCTGAACATTTTAATTTTCTTGATTGTATACTCAATAAGCACATCCAAACATAAGACCAAACCAACAGGGCTTTCAGATTTTTCAGCATACCTTTGACATACAGGGCATTTCAGCTGGGAAAGTTTCCCATTGGCCCGGTAATTCTTCTTATCTGCTTCATTCACATTCATCAGCTTCACCATCTTAAGAAAGGCAGTCTTCAGCACCTTCAGGTCCACCCCCGTCTCCTCCACCTTCACCTGCTTCTCCATCTTCACCTGCTTCGCCGCACGCACCTCAGACTTCTGCTGCAGCTTGCGTCCGGAGGACTCCCCGGGCACACCACCATTGGCCTGATCCTCCCACTTCCGCTTCGGGATAGGCACCGGAAGCAGCCCGGCAGCGGGCAGGAGTGCGGGCATGGGTGGCGGAGGAGCCCACCGCTCGAGGGGCGGCCGCAGGAGGGGCAGCGGTGGCAGGGGCGCCAAGAGGTGCGCGGGTATCGGCGGCGGCGGCTGGCGGAGCTGCGGCGGCGGCTCGTGCGGGAGGGCAAAGTAGGTGCGCACAGTGCCGTCGGAGAGCGCGACGGTGCGGCGGTCGAGGTCCTCCAGCCCGTACCGCGGCGGCGGCGGGATGGCGGCCATCACCGCCTCCACCGCGGCCACGGTGAGCAGCGGCCGCGACGGGGGCTGGGGCGGCAGCAGAGGCGACGCGCCGGGCGGAGGGTGCTGCTGCGGGTGAGGGTGCGGGTGCGGCGCGGGGATCAGAGGCGAGCGGCTGGCCTCCCCGTTGACGCTCGGGTAGGCTCTGGGGCCGCGGCGGCGGCGGCGGCGTTGCCCGGGTTGGTGCGCTTGTTGGGGTTGGGGTCGGCGGCGGACGACGTGGAGGACGACGCCCTGGAGGCAGCGGCCTGCGCCGCGGTGGGCGCCGCGGGCGGAGGCATCGGCGTGGGCTTGGCCTGCGGATTGGCGGCGGCCATCATGCCGGAGGATTTTCTAGGGTTTCGTCGGGATTGGAAGTCGATTTGGGGGAAGGAAAAGGCGACTGGCTACATGCGATATGAGATAGGTGAAGATTGACTTTGACGAGTGGGACCAGGTGTCATAGACACGTGAACGGAACAACTGGACTCGGAGCAAGGGTGACATGACGGCACGTTTGGTCCAAGTTTCCTTGCGTAGCCTCGCTTGGCAAGGCGAACCTTGCTAGCGCAGGTGAGCCAAACCTTCTCGTCTAACATAGTAAGAAAATCCAAACATATTTTTTGTTTTAACTTCTAGCCTAGCAAGATGAGGCAAGGCATTCAAATAATGTGCTCAAAATTGACGTGCGTGTTATACACGACACATGAGGGCATAACGTAACGCGCAAACGGAAGCGGCATCGCTTGGCAGTTGACACTAGTCGCTTTGGTGTTGAATCATTTTTTATCTATATCTATATTTATACCTACTTCTATACTTTTTTGAAAAGATCATGATGTCAAAGAAGAGAGATGAATTAGACTAATTCTAAATTCTTTACAATAATTAAGCCTTATACTTAGCCCACTTTACCCATGTACCTACAATGTGTTTCTATTATTCTAACGCACAAAAATTTTGCACCCTAGATTCCAATCCTACTCTAGCATTGTAATTCTAAGAATGTAAATACATGAAACGAATTGGTCAAATGTAAATGCTCAAAGTAAAGAGAGGGAAAGAAACGCGGCGATGTTTTTTCGAGGTATCGAAGAGTCGCCACTCCCCACTAGTCCTCGTTGAGCACCCGTACAAGGGTGTAGCTCCCCCTTGATCCGCGCAAGGATCAAGTGCTCTCTAAGGGCTGATTCTTCAACACTCCGTCGCGGTGAATCACCCACAACTGCTCATAACTTAAGTTGGGTCATCCACTAGCTCCATCGGATGATCATCAAGCTCCCAATCACACACGTTAGTCATAGTAATCTCGTGTCGTCATTAATCATCAAAACACAACTAGGAGCCTAGATGCTTTCAATCTTCGTTTTTTTGATGATTGATGACAATACAACCTCGAGTATGTAAAAGAGATAAGTGAGGTTTTCAACATACTTGGTTCATATAAGTTTTTGACAATAAGAGCAAAGGAGTTAGACATGCTTATATGGCCCAAGCTAACATGGTGTACTCAATAGATATGAAATAAGCATGAGTACAAAAAGTAAAGCTCATTTGAATCGGAGTAAAACATGGAAGCAAAGCAAATGAGCATAATCAAGTGACATGACATATATATAAATCAATGTAGAGAGCACACATGTCACATAAGTCTCATCATCACATGTATGTAATGCAATACATGAAAGTAAGCGTGAATACATAAAGTATCACACACAAAGGACCAAAAGAAACGAATCACATGCTCCTGCTAGATGTAGCGTTTCCTCTAGATCTAACATACTCACTCCCTCTCCCCCATTGGCGTCAAACACCAAAACCTAAGGGTCGGACAGTGGGACAGGAGCAGCCGAGTCGGGCGCTGTGGTGCGGTGAGAGATCTGGAACTGAGCAGCATCATCCTCTGACCTTGAACTCTGAGCGGTCTGACCCTCTGTCGCTGAAAGGGAAGGTGAAGCGGTCTAGGTCTGCTCAGTGACTGGCGTGGCCTGTGACTCTGAAAGTATCACTGTAGGAAGCGAAGCCACATCTGCCTCTATCGTTGTCACTGAAACCTCAAGTATAGGAGTGACTGTCTAAGGTGGCTCGGATGACGCAACAGACAACGGGATCGTCTCAGTAGTCCCGGTAACATGAGCAGCTGTGGTAGGGATAGGGACTCGGAATACTAGAGGTGTAGGCTACCCTGTAAGCTCACTGAAGGTAGCGCTGAGACTCCTGGAGACTAGGGTGTCCGTCACTAACACTGATGAAGAACTCTAAGGCAGAGTGAAGCCCGTAACAATAGGAGTGAAGTGAGGACCCTGAGCTGTCATTGGTGAAGCAAACCACTGAGACACCTGCTCTGTAGGTGAAGCAAACTGAGTAGCTGGTTGTCCCAGACTCTGAAGCCCACTGGGCTGTACAGTTGTAGTCACTGTAGTGGTGGTAGCAGGCTGGTCTATCTAAGGTGTAGACTGCTGAGCAGCAACCCCAATAGCAGTGAATATATGATGCATGAAGCCAAGTAACTGCTGCTGGATCATAAGTTGTTGCTGCTGCATGGCCTGCTGCTGCCTCTGAAACTCATCCTATCGAGCCTGAACCTAAGCAAGTGTAGCTACGGTCTCCTTTGCTTGGCGTGCCTGGTCCTGCCTCATCCGCTCAAGTACTGCTAGAAGAGCTGGGTCTGTCTACGGTGGTTGTGGTGGAGTAGAGCTGGAGCCACTAGCCTCTCTATCGTGTGGTCGAGGAGCCATCTGTGGAATCAACTGATAGTCATCATCAGAGCTGTCACTCAGGTTGCTCTCTACCACATCCTCCTGCTATGCATCAAGCTCCTCCTCCTTTGTAGCTACAATGCCGCTGATGATCTCATCCTGTTGGGTTGCTGTCTCTGGTACCTCTGGGCAATGGCTCAGCTGGCGAGGTGTCCTCACACGACTGTGACGTAGCATCTGAGTCATGTCATATGGCGAAAACTCAGTAGTAGCACCTGTGTACTCTGCCATTGTCTCAGGAGACTTCTGTGTAATTGCCTTTCAGATTAAGAAAGTGATCCAATGAGCATAAGGCAACTGACGGTGACCTCTGAAGCCCTCTGGTAGTGTCCTCCATCTCTGAAAGTATCACATCCCAAATATCAAAAGCAATCTGAGGCACAAGGTGATACACTAGCCACAACTGAATGCGAGTCAGACCCTCGTGGTAGCCCATCCTCGAAAGCAGAGTCCTCCTCATAATAGCATCAAGAAGTCGAGCTGTAGGAGTAAGATCATGTGGTGTCCTGCTCGACCCCTCGCCAAACGGCTCTATGAAACAAGGTCTGACAATGTCTGTAGGTGGCACAAGTCCACCGTGAGGGCGTCTCAAAGGCTTTGTCTGTCCATAGCATACCTCGTGAAGGTGAATAAGGGACTCTGGAATCCTCAGAATCTCTCTGACCCTCGAGCTCTAGAGCCTGTAGTCACGGCCTCTGAATGCAAAGTGAATGAATCTTTTCTTTGGGTCAATCCAAAGAGAGGAGTAGAACTCATGGACCCATAACGGAACGTAGCAGCCAGTCCGTCCAAAAAGATCTGTCAGGCCTGGCAGATAGGAAAGGTGAGGATGGATCTGCTCGCTTGCAGCTACAACAAGGGACTATAAGGAGCAGACTCTTTGAGATCTGAAGACAACTCCACTGTTAGGATATGCAGTATAAAAGTCCTCCTGCAACACAGTGTAGAAGTTCTCTGAAGCACTCTCATCCCATCTCGGCGGAAACCAATCCTCAAACTGGACGAAGCGGAGCTGCTGCACCTGTTTGGCTATGGCTGCCCTCAGGTCAAAGTGAACCACCGGAGGCGGACCCTATGGTCTGGGAGGCGGACGAGAGCCCCTCCTCTATGTCTCAGGCCTCGGTGACACCTGAGTATGTGTGCGACTAGAGCGTCGAAGCTGTGGCTATGCTGCCTGCTCTGTCTCCTCAATATGCTCTGTCTATTGGTGCCCTCTATCTACTCTGCTGGCTGTGTCTGCTGCTTAGTCTCCCCCTGAGGCTGACTCTCCTCCAAAGAGACACGTCATCCTCCAAGCATAACAGTCCTAGGTGGACTACCATGACATGTCTTAACCCTCTCGACGGCGGCCCTCTGAGCTCATGACAACTAATCACCTATACGAACGCCACTCCTAGATCCACCTCTCTCTGCTCGCTCTGCAGCGGTTGCCACTACTGCTGCTCTCTCTGTCTCCACATCAGTGAACTTCTGCTTCTTCATTGTAGTCTTTTTTGCCTTTCCTTTTTCCTGAGCAATCAGGCGAGGCGGAGGCCTTGAATCCTCGTCGTCGGGACCACCTCTGGCATTCTTACATCGTGCCATTGCTAGAGCTAAAGAGAATTACTGCCACTAACAGGAAACGATAGCCAACTGACACTCGTGAGGCTTGGCCTCGATTCGTACTTGTGGGCTTGGCCCCGAGTTTACTGACAACTGCTAAATCAACCACAAGAGCACCAACTCGTTACACGATGGAATAGATAGGAAATATAAATAATCACTATATTTATCTAGAGGTACAAAACCCTAAGAAGCAAGCACTAGATAAGAAATTGAAAGCGATGGCTTGCTACCTGATGAAATTCGACAAACCGACGACCGACGAGCAAAGGAGAGGATCACGGGGCACCACCGGAATCGACAAGGATATGCCTTGGGTTAGGGTTTGGCATCGAGAAGTGGTGCGGCCGCCAAGAGGGTGTGGCAGTCCAATGCAGGTGCGGCTAAGGCATGCCGATGTAGACGAGTGCGCTGGCGAGGCCGTGGAGGCGTAGGCGTGGCTATGGAGGCGTAGGTGGCGGCGCTGGTGTGCAGTCGCGAGCGCGATGGCTGAGGCGGGCCGGTGGCATGACAGCTAAGGCGAGCGCGATGGCACGGCGATGTGACTAGGGCAAGCACGGGCGCGGAGATCAAGCGTGGGCATAGACACGATGGCTGGCGCGGTGGCGTGAGGTAGGCGTGGGCGTGGACGCAGTGGCATGGCAGCGTGAAGCAATCACAGGGCGCGGGCGTGGCTAGGTCAAGCACGGGCGTGGACGGGGCAAGCATAGGCGCTGGCCTGGTGAGGTTGGCATGGGTGCGGGCACGGTGGCACAGGCGAAGCAGGCGCGACGGCGCGATGGCGAAGGCAGGCATGGGTGACCTAGATGCGATTGAGAAAAAGCAATTTAAGGTGGCCCCCGCGTGATAGAGGAGATAAGGAAATTAGATTCACTCAGATTCAACTGATCGGACGCACCGGTGGCAACGTCCGGACGCTGCCACCCGGAGTCCGGTCGACAGCAGAGAGGTCCAAAACCCCTCAAGTCACGACCGGACGC